CAGCTCATCTTAAATGAGAGACGAATGACGTCAACTTAGACAAGCGTATATATATATGTATAGATGTATGTATATATACGCTTGTCTAAGTTGACGTCATTCGTCTCTCATTTAAGATGAGCTGTCATCTTTGACATTATCAGAAGGTGTGTTGCTTCAGTATGTCGCAAGTTGCGTACTCCAACGCCAAGATCATCAGTGTTTGAAGGATGGACTATTATTCTTACTGGTGGTTAGGAGGTGTGAATATAGATTACGAAAGTCATAGAAACAAAAACTTACACCGGATTACAATATAATTGTAAGATGGGATGAATCGAATAAAGACAAAGAGATAAAATTCCATACACAGAGAACAAAACAAAAACCTGAAGGGTAAGGGAACATACCGAACTAGGTCCATGGTAGTTGTAAAGGCTGGAGTAGTCTCTTTTGAACACATAGCTCTGGCTTTTCGATGCATTTGGCGAGAGCTTCCCCATTACAGACAAGTCGGAAACACACTGACTGCCTTTGGTAGATTTTTGTTTACTATGTAAATGACTTTAAAAGATGAGTCAGTTGAGATCCTGTGACAGGTGTAGACGAGGTTGTAAGAGTTAGACTTGACTTAACTTAGACCTAAATTAGCCACTCTTACAAAAACTTCTTCACCGCTCTATGACCTTAGTTGTACTCTGCCTAATGTTCAAATATTAGTCAATGGAATCAAGGTAAAAAGACTTGAGACGACAAGTGTGACTGGAACAGAGTTATATTTACACAAAAGCAATATGAGATTTGATAAAATATAAGAGGTTATACACTTATCTGCAGTCGAGACGGTGGTAAGCTCGGAGAGTGTGCCGGATGAAAGCACAACGAGAGAGCGAACCAAAGCCGTACAGGAGACTCACGAATCCAAAGAGGAAGTGATCCAAAATGTCAGGTGAGTCCGTTCAAACAAAAGTTCGAAGGTTCAATGTACACTACAAGTTATCCCTTCTTTAGAGGGTTGGTGGGAAAACGGCAAGCTTCGATATATAAAAGTGGCAAGGTTGTGTACAATAACAGTGAATGAACAAGAAAGTGTGAAGATAGTAATAAAAATAGTTGTTTTTTCAAATAAATATATTGTGAAAGGAAAGAATGAAGGGAAAAAAATTAAGACAATTTATGGGAACTATGTACATGATTAATGGCGTAAGACGGAATATAAGAAGAAATAACGCTGGTGCCTTGGTGCGATTTCAACCTTCTGAGTTGTCTGGTTTATTTTTACATCGTTTATGTTTATATATATATATATATGTTTATTTATTTTTTGTAATGACATACTATTACGGGCTGAATTATGTAGAGTTCTGATGGTTTAATTCCGTTTCCCAGGTTGTTATAGCGGGAAGGTGACTCATTATGTCTAAGTTTCATCTTAGACTAATGCTCCATCCTTCCTCATCAACCAGAACTAGTAGTAATACCAAAGGCAATCAATATACCAGCTGTTTGAGTGCAAGGCCGAAAATAAAATGTTAGAACACTCTGTAAAGAGAAAGCAATCTAACAAGGTTAGTAACTGTTAGATGGTTGGAGGCAATCGGCAGGAAGCCTTGGACCTAGGTTTCGTGCTAGTTGGCACTCATCAGCAAGGCGTATCTGCAACCTTGAGGGAACTGATGTCCCTTCTGAGATTCGAACCCGCGTCATTAGATGCATTACACTAGTTACTGACTAGTGTGCATTCAAAAAGGTTAGTAACTGTAAAAGTGGCTACTGCCCACAAACTAAATCAAAAGGGTAAATACCAGGAAAAATGAATGTAAACTGCGACAAAGAAAGAAAAAATAAGAGTATGAACTGCTCTTGTACGTAAAAGTGTGTAGTTAAGGAATTCACAGTATCGCTTAGGCCAGTACACACGCCGACCCGCGCGTGTAACTGTTGCCTTACTTGTTGTATCTGGCGAACTGCTAGATTTAGTAGGATTTTCAACAACAGAACTTGGCTGGGGTGTGGCTGCAGGCGTAGTTGCTGGTTGTGTAGGCGTGAGAGGTAAAGAGTCTCCGATGTAGGCCGCTTTAAGTCTGTAGACACTGACGGTGTCTTGATGGCCAGATCGATCAATAACGAAAAAATTTTCTTTCCAACTAAGGACCTTGAAAGGTTCATCATATGGGGTTTGCAATGGCTTACGCACGGCGTCATGACGCACGAAAACATGAGTACAATCATGCAGTCGATTATCGACATGTACTTTCCGGTTTTGAATGCGTGTAGGAACAGGTCGGATTTGCTGCATATAACCTTTAAGCCTCTGTGCGTAACAGGTGATATCAGGGAAAATTTGCTGGACAGCGTCAGGAGCGACAAGCTCACCTGGTAAACGCAGCATAGTGCCATACACCAATTCAGCTGAGGAACATTGTAGATCCACTTTGAGTGTGGCACGGATGCTAAGTAGCACCAAGGGCAGAGAATCCGTCAACCTACTGTTGTCTACTGCTATCAATGCGGCTTTTAATTGGTGGTAAAAACGCTCTACCAGGCCATTTGAAGCGGGATGATACGCGGTTGTCCGAATGCGCTTGCATCCCAGCATCTCCAAGAGTATCTTGAAACTTATGGATTCGAATTGTTGTCCTCGGTTGGTAGTGACAGTATGCTGCACATTAACAGCTTTCATGACAAGTGCTTCCCATTAGGTCACATGGCACAATAATACCAGAGGACATTGTTAGCAGTATTATCATCATACGTGTGAAAAAGTGGGTTTTTACACTAAGAGTTATGAAGTATAAAAATAGCTAATATTAGAGCAACTAAGTTATATTCTATTTATCAGAGTGATATGAGTAGTGGAACAATTAGTGATAAAGTTATGTAAAATGGTTCTGAGTAAGGCAACTGGTTAACAGAACTTGTTGTGCTAAATTTTCATGACCGATTTCATATGGTGTGCGTTACACATTGCAAAGTGACTCATCAATTATATAATGGAGAAATGCTACATAATTTCAACATTATGATACAGCAAGGAATTTTCAGCATTCAGTACAATATTGCATCTAATTTACTGAGAAACGACAAAAAACAAACAAAAAACAAATAAAATGAATAAACATTACATAATAATAATAATATATATTTCGTAGCCATAACAATCAGAGCCTAACATCATAAAAGGAGGGAGGGTGGCTCATGCTGATCAGTAGTTATGGTGGTGGACACTAAGGTGAATCGGCCCATTCTGCAGGAACAGCAATATACAATTTGATGGCTCGAAATTTCTATGAGGGCTTGAATCTTTATCTTGAATAAGATAATAATGATCGCCTGAACAGATCATGCTTCTACCTTTAAACATATACCATTCGGTCAGCCTATTGCTGAGATGCGACCACGTGGGCTCTGCACAGATTTATGGGGCATCTTATAAATTGACATGCTTTCCTTTGTCGTATCTTCGAATATCACTTAACAATGTCTCATCTCATTCATTTTCTAATAACGTCTTCACTTGCTCCTAATTATATTCCACTAAACCTAACATTTTATAGCTCTTTATGAATTTGATTCGACTTATTCTATTCCTATTCTCTATAGGGTACGGTTGTGCACCACATACACAAAAAGGTATGAAATTAAAACAACCGGCTTGTGGATAATTGTATTAAAACCAAAAGTGGACATCATGATAGTAAGACCTATATGGGTAGCATTATACATTGCAAATGAACTTTGTCAACCTAGGGATTATAGTCTCCCATTGTATTTCCTTTATCAATGGATCTATTGATGATACATTGCATTTACCTTTTTCATTACACTTTAATGATTCGCCTTAGCACCTTTACTTTTCTAAAACAGCTTACTATCCCTTGTAAACGTTGTACTTACCTCAATATTGGTTGGTTATCGTATGCCTACAACTACGGGTTGAAAACGAAACGAAGTCGATTTTCTCGCGCAACCTGGAGGACTACTGTTCAATTCAATAATGATACGACATGGGTCAGACAAAGAGTGTATTTATACATATATCAAATATTTAGCTGTTCAAACATTACTAACTTGTAGGCAATCTACTATTTGACATTGTATCATACTTGATCGTGCCTGTAAAAATGGCATGTATTTTCATGTAAATTTATGTTTATATGAAATATAAATTAGTATTATTATTATAAATTATTATTATTATATCTAGTGTTTTTCCAAGACGGGTAGCAAAGTAAACAATATCGTCATGAACAAGTGATATAAGGAAGGAGTGATCGCATGAGTTAAAATCGCCAGTCACTAGGTTGCATAACTCGCAATTTCTTTTTTGTGACACTAGGGTTTTATTATACAAAGTATGTGTCCGACCTATTTTAGAATACTGCCCGTTTATTCTCAGCGGACTGAGCGAAAATGACAAGTGGGAGTGCAACGGCAATTAACCTTAAGAACTCTTGGTTTAGAAAGTGGTCTCGAATACTCTGAACGTTATGAAAGACTAAGATTAGAAACACTCTGGAAAAGACGTCTTAAGCTGAACCTGATTTTTTACTACAAACTAACTCATCTGCTCGTGCACTCCTCCGAGCCAATAATAAACCTACTGCTGTCATCAGTTACAATCTTAGAAATCATCGCAACCTAGCTGCTATAGAGCATTGTCAGATTTATATGCGATACAACTTCTTCTTAAATAAGTTTTCGGTCATTTGGAATAGACTACCAGCTGATGTGCGCGATGCAAACACACTCGCAGTGTCCATCTCCTCAGTCAGCAGACTGCTCAAAGATGACAATTCACTTCTGCGTTTGACTCTTACACCCTCTTTTTCACCCTACATGGATAATTTAAGTTCATTAAACGGGTAGTTATAACAAACTACAATTATAAATTTTTATATTATTGGAAGTACATGATAGACATTTTTACACAGGACAATAATATTATAGAAAATCAAAACAAATGATTCAGCGAAGAGACTCTTTTCAACGAATTTATCATCAAGCTCTACAATCGTATATATGTGGGTTTTTTTAAGAAGCTGTTGAACAACTCCATGTGTGTTTATCAATTCACATGCTCGTGTGGAGCTAGGTATATCGGTCGTTCAACACGAGTTTTGTCCAAGAGGGTGCAAGAACACTATCCCTCTGCATGGTTACGAAAAGGTGGTAGTGGAGCAATAAGAAGCGCGATCATTGAACATCTGGTCGATAATGATCACCCTATCTCTATAGCCTCCGCCTTCAAAGTCATCTACAAGGCAAAGAGTAATCTACCCAAATCCCTATGTACCCGACTCATCTGTATTGCTGAAGCTTTGGCTATCGAAAGAGAAAAGCCAGATCTCTGTGTACAGAAAAAGTTCGTTCAACCCCTCCAACTTTCATGGTCTTAATCCCTCTATGCTAAAGTATGGTAATCCCCAATCATATTTTAGCTCTACCAATTTTTCATCTTTTCATTTTTGTCTATTCAATTTGTGTACTCTTCCTTATTAAGTCAATTGTAACTGTTGCTACTCTCACTTTTAATTGTCCCCGGTATTATTTCACTTGTTCCACTTGTCATTCTAAATCAATTCCTTCATGTAACATTAAATTCTATGCTATGAAATTCCACACAATATTACGTAACGTTTTTATTTTATTCGATTTGTTTACTAATCTTATAATTGCACACCTTTTTCAAGTTCTATCCATCCTATGAATTATTCTATATATGACATTAATTTGCTTTGCCACTTGACATTTAACTACGATTATAATCACAAAGATTTTAGTTTTAATTGTATTTCATATTATTATTTTATGCATTCACACCTATGTTTAAATTCCCTCACCGGATATAGCTTCTTAAATAAACCATATATATACGATTGTACAGCTTGATGATAAATTCGTTGAAAAGTCTCTTCGTTGAATCATTTGTTTTGATTTTCTATATGTTAGAATGGGAATTTTCCATGACAATAATATTAGTTCACACAATATAAAAGTTAGCATAACGGGACTAGTTAGTTAGTGCAGCAAAATAACCATAATTACTGAGCAGAATATAAATGTTTATATACATATCAATCACTCCTTAAGGACTCCACTTGCTTTCTTTCGCGTTGCTGTTGTTTGTCTTCTTTTTTCTCTCACCATTTTAGCTTGCATTTGACTTTTTGAATGAGAATGGAGAATGTGGATATTTGACCATTTACAATGACAAATGATCTGCAAACATTATTGGTCCCATATGTTACAATAACCTCGTGAATTATGCATTACATTTCCCCACGACGCAACCTGGATTACAGTTGTGGAATATACCTTTATAACAATAAAAAAGCATTGATATATAATACTTCACGATTGTAACTTACAACATAACTGCTCGTGTCTGCAAATATAGCTTGCATTTCTTGAAAACACCCGTTTATAAGGAAATATAAACTATTAAATATATATAATTCACATATAAATAAATAAATTAAGCATTTACATGATTGACATACCGTTTGTACAGGCATGATCATATTTGACAAGTGCAATTTGAAATGGAACACTGTTTTCTGACATTAAAAATTGGAAAGATGGAAAAAAACCTCTAGAAACTTTATTAGAATAGATTACAATATATTGGTTCAAGTCTAAATTATAATCTATATTATACTTATAGTCAGTCAAATTCATGCGGGAATTACGAAATGTTGCGTTAATGGAAGGTGCGAAGAGAGGTGGTACACAGCTGCTAGAGTAAGACAAACAGGATGCAGAGCTTACGATCATTATCATTTGATCAATTAATAAGGGTTCGAAAATTTATACAACTCCACAGTAGCGGGTAAGTACAACATTATTTTGGTATTAGCAGATACAACGGACCAACTTTGCGATGATAAACAGAATTCAGAATGGAATTTGTTCCGTTTTTCATCGTATGTGCTAACGAGGTTCTGAATAACGCTCAAGTAATACAAACGTAGAAAGCCGCATCACTGTACATTTGCAATGCTCCAATGCAATACCTTCGAGAAGAGAAGAAAGGAGAAAACAGAAAGAGAGGTGCAGAGGCAGCCAGCAACCAATAATAATTTAAGCAAACATTATGCGATAACCTCAGGGTTTATTTCCTTTTTTTTACTAATAATTTAGAGTCATTGAGTTTTATAGTGTAACATACTAACAGTTAGTTCAAGTTTGTGCTAGTAAACAACAACAAAAAAAATATAGAATAACAAAAATAAAAAATATGGGGGCAAAACGAATAATGATTTTTACACCTATATAGGGTAATGGTAATAGAAATTGGAGAATTTAAATCCAAACGCCAAATTACATAAAATATGTAGAAGAAAAAAGTATGTTAATACTTATTTATGCTATTGTTCTGATTTATACAGTTAGATGTCCTCATGAAGTAGAGAAATCGTACCATGAGCTTGTTTCCAAAGAGTTTATACACAAGCTTTGCCATACAAGCAGCTATTATTTCAATTTTTGTTGAAGTCATTCACACGCAGGAGCCTTAGCAATAATAATACTAATTTATATTTCATATAAACATAAATTTACATGAAAATACATGCCATTTTTACAGGCACGATCAAGTATGATACAATGTCAAATAGTAGATTGCCTACAAGTTAGTAATGTTTGAACAGCTAAATATTTGATATATGTATAAATACACTCTTTGTCTGACCCATGTCGTATCATTATTGAATTGAACAGTAGTCCTCCAGGTTGCGCGAGAAAATCGACTTCGTTTCGTTTTCAACCCGTAGTTGTAGGCATACGATAACCAACCAATATTGAGGTAAGTACAACGTTTACAAGGGATAGTAAGCTGTTTTAGAAAAGTAAAGGTGCTAAGGCGAATCATTAAAGTGTAATGAAAAAGGTAAATGCAATGTATCATTAACAGATGCATTGATAAAGGAAATACAATGGGAGACTATAATCCCTAGGCTGACAAAGTTCATTTGCAATGTATAATGCTACCCATATAGGTCTTACTATCATGATGTCCACTTTTGGTTTTAATACAATTATCCACAAGCCGGTTGTTTTAATTTCATACCTTTTTGTGTATGTGGTGCACAACCGTACCCTATAGAGAATAGGAATAGAATAAGTCGAATCAAATTCATAAAGAGCTATAAAATGTTAGGTTTAGTGGAATATAATTAGGAGCAAGTGAAGACGTTATTAGAAAATGAATGAGATGAGACATTGTTAAGTGATATTCGAAGATACGACAAAGGAAAGCATGTCAATTTATAAGATGCCCCATAAATCTGTGCAGAGCCCACGTGGTCGCATCTCAGCAATAGGCTGACCGAATGGTATATGTTTAAAGGTAGAAGCATGATCTGTTCAGGCGATCATTATTATCTTATTCAAGATAAAGATTCAAGCCCTCATAGAAATCTCGAGCCATCAAATTGTATATTGCTGTTCCTGCAGAATGGGGCGATTCACCTTAGTGTCCACCACCATAACTACTGATCAGCATGAGCCACCCTCCCTCCTTTTATGATGTTAGGCTCTGATTGTTATGGCTACAGCAAATATATTGCTTGGTACCAGACACGTTCGTACCTCACATTCCATTTCCCCAGCTTTCTTGGTGAGTGCTTCCAAGAGATCTCCACGTACAGATTTAGGAACATATTATATATGTGTGCATGCGTCCTAATGAACAGATTAGTTTATAAGATGTTAAACCCTTAAAGAGTAAAAAGAAGAGGTTTTGTGAATAGTGGAGCAAGATTCATCAGAACACTACAGTTGGAGTTCAATGTAGGTAGTATGAACTGAAGGTAAGATCGGTTGGCAGGACTTATTGTACTAAATTATCATGACAGTCTTTTATATAGTAAACATTTGACATTGCAAAGTAACCAGTCTACACATATTATAAAAAGATATTAACACAGAACCAACAGAATTTTAACATTTGGTTAACAATATTGCAGTGTGTGTATACTGAAGAAGCGCAGTTAGTCTTACAGGGATCCGTGGTATGTGCAGTACCCCTGAAGCACTGAAAGTGGACCCAGAGACGGTAGCAGATTTACTGACTACATTATTGCAAAAGGTCTGGTAGGAGGGAAAGGTGCCTACTGACTGGAGGAAAGGTTACCTCGTGAAACTACCAAAGGGCAACTTAGGACTCTGCAAGAACTGGCGAGGAATCATACTCCCGTCGACAACGAGTAAAATTCTGAGTCGCATCATCCTGGAGAGAATAAATGACGCACTGGATACAGAACTCCGACAACCAGAACAAGCTGGGTTCAGGAAAGGCAAATCATGCTCTGACCAAATTGCAACTCTATGCATCATCATCACAGAACAAAGCATGGAATGGCAATCAAACCTCTACCTCAACTTCCTTCATAGACTCTGAGAAGGCCTTCGACAGCGCAGCGTTGACCGCAAAGTAATTTGGAAACTACTCGAGTACTGCGGCGTACCTCAAATATTCATCAACCTTATTCAACAGCTATACGACAACGGCACATGTCAAGTGATCCACAATGGAAAACTCAGCGAGGCTTTTGGAGTAAACACAGGAGTCAGACAAGGGTGCTTATTATCACCAATGATATTCCTAATTGTGGTGAACTAGATTATGCGTCAGACAGTGGGAAATGAGAAGACAGGCATATCCTGGACCGACGTGAAGAATCTAGAAGACCTGGATTTCGCGGATGACTTATGTTTGATGTCACACAAAATCGAAGACTTACAAGCGAAAACCGACAAACTGGTCGAAGAAGCAGCAAAGACAGAACTCCAGGTGAACATAGACAAGACGGAGGTTATGAAAATAACCAACCAACCAACCAACAACAACAGCAGCAGCAACATCCAGCGCCAATCACCATCAACGGGAGGGATTTGAAAGAGGTTACTTCATTCGCTTATCTAGCTAGGGAGTATTATCTTAACTACAGGAGGAACGGACGAGGATGTCAAACCGAGAATCGGGAAGGCGAGAAACACATCCACCGACCTGAAACCAATCTGGAAATCTTCGTCACTCAGCATCAACAACAAAATTCGGGTTTTCAATACAAACGTCAAGTCAGTCAGTTCTTCTATACGGATCAGAAACTTGGCGGGTCACGGAGAATAATTCCAACAGCCTGTTGCAGACATTTATCAACAGCTGTCTTCGCTCCATACTGAAGATTAGATGGCCGGCCGGAAAGAATCACCAACAAGAATCTATGGGAACAAACAAAACAAGAACCAATCGCTCAACAAATATGCAAGAGAAAGTGGAGATGGATTGGACACTCTCTGAGGAGGCCGCTGGGTGACATCGCGCGTCAGGCCATCGCTCGAGTGGAACCCGAAAGGGAAGCGGCGAGTGGGACGTCCAAGGGTGACATGCAGGAGATTGTGTGAAGATGAGCTGAAACAGTATGGACTAACATGGACGCAGGTGAAAAGTACAGCAGAAGACAGAAGCAAGTGGAGACGTGCAGTTGAAGCCCTATGTTCCACTAGGAACCCAAGGGAACAATAATAATAATAATAATAGACGCTTATCTCTTATGTGCAGTACCAATAAATGTCTACATTTCATTCTTCTGTGATGTTTCAAAGTGTGACAATGTAAACGCATGCAATCTCATAAAAATTTAAACGTTGATCCATATCAGTCATTAGATATTGGAAAACCCACGAGATAAATTTAAAACCGATCTGTTAACTACGATAAAATAAAGAATTGGAAGCACAAACATGAACGAAAACTTTAAACAAATAATTGGAAAAGGGTGTAAAATGTGTTTGCATTCTTTTTTTTCGAGCACAGAAAGGATGTCAAAAGTCGTGAATGATTTGCCAAATCATGTGGAGAACTGGGTGTGTTATGATTCTTATATTCCTCCCTTATATACTTTAAAAAGCTAAGTGTTGGATGATTAAAAAGCTATTCAATGATGCAACACAGGTTAAACTTACAACTATCGGCTGAAAATATTCTTCAATCACTGAGTCATTCAGAAAATAACAGCACAGTGCAAAAGGTTGGAGATAAGCATATATTAAACTGAGTGATAAATGCTCTGTCCTATCAGTTGACTGCTGCTCTTCCTCCTTTTTGTCTTCCTCTACGTTTTGCTGTTGTTGTTGCGGTTTCTCATCGTTATTCTCTAGAGCCGTAAGACGTGATTTCAATCGATCGAAACCGGACAGCCTTCCAAATAAATTGATGAAATCCAACAAAACCGGTGCATCTTCATAATTAACATATGGAATAGAATATTCTCTTAAATTTAAAGAGGTGGAACTATTGAGGTGTGATGAATTCCCATTCGTTTCTTCATAGTTCACTTCTTCCTGGTATTCCTGCATGTTTAACTTATTCACTGATAAATGCGGTAATAACTTAATGATATTGTCAAATCGGCAAACAGCGTTCTTATCAATTCCGTAACGAATTTCTTGTGCCACATTGGTGGAATTAATACTACGTTTATGAAAGCTGTAACATTAAATACAAGAAAATATTAAGTGAAAGGAAGAGGCTGAAAATGGTTCTTACACATTTTTAAACAATTCACACTCGATAAAAGTGGACCAAAGATGATGCAAACTTAAATAACCGAAATCCCTTCGAATCTTGCAATTTCAAAAATCACAACCGTATAACAGGATTATATTATTATTACTCCCTTGAATTCCGAGTGGAACATAGGGTTTAGACAACACATCTCCGCTTTCTTCTATTCTCTGCCGTCCTCTTCAGCTGGCTTGCTCCATGACTGACCAAACTCTCATCTCTTCCTCACACGATCTCCTCGATGTCACCCTTGCACCGACGACCCACTCGTTGCTTCCTATTGGGATTCCACTCGAGCGATGGCCGGCATTGCACGCGGTGAAAGTCGTCGGCCTCCTTAATGTGTGCTCGGTCCATCTCCATTTTCACCAACATATCTGTTGAGCAATCGGCTCTTGGATGACTTGTTCCCAGCTAGCCAGAGTTTCTTGTTATTAATTCTTT